AAAAAAAATAATTACCATTCATTTTTCTATTAGATCTTTTCTTTTTTTTTGATAGGGCAAAGATGATGAAACAGGCGAAGCATTATCGCAACGTGACGATGATAAACCTGAAGTTATCCGCGATCGATTGAATACATATGATAAAAATACAAATCCAATTGCTGAATTTTACAAGTAAATTTTTTAAAAGATAAATTTATACGATGTCTTTTTTTTCTTCTGCTAGAAAAAAGAACATTCTTCAAGAATTCCATGGACGTGAAAGTGATAAAATATGGCCTGAAGTTAAAAAATATCTTGATCGTGTTCTTAATGAACCACCAGCACGAAAACAAGGTGCCTAAAACAGCACTATACAATTTTATGTCCGAAGCATACATTTCTGTGAACTTTATTATCCTATTTTGTCTGCATACTCTTTAGTGTTTAGTTCTGAACTTGACTCGTGTGTGTGTTGCTTCCTTTTATAAAAATACATATCTTTAAAATGGTTCTATACTTAAGATTTTGGTATTTATTTTTCTCAAGGTCATTTCTTCACATTCTTTCTGTATATATATACGAAAATGAAATGTATATCGAGATAACATATTTCAATTGGATATATGTAATTCATATCCATGCTACATAACTGCACGTTTATGCATATATATATGACTACTTTTTTCTATAATCTTCCAAATAAGTACAATTAATAAATAAAAAATATTCAGAATCGAAAGTATATACATATCCACATATGGGTGATGAAAATTCTCGTTTGATTTCAACAACATTTAATATGGCATCAAATGAAGCACGCGATAGATTACATACAATAATGACTCATGATATGGCTGAAGCTATTGAACAAATTGGTCAAACATTAGAAGCATGTAGTACAAAAAAAGCTCGATTACTTAGTCGACTTGATGAAGTTGCTAGAGCAGTTGATGAAGTTCGAAATGAATGTGGATGTATTGATACTACAATTGCGTAAGTAAAATAATCGTATAACTAACAAATTTAATGTAATTTAATTTTTATAGAAGCAAAGTTTTACATTTAAATAAATTAGCTACACAAATTGTTCAACAAATGGCACTTGTAAGCATTCCAGATCAACTACCACCACCTGAACCATTAGCACCCCCAATAGTTGAAATTGATCTATCAACTGTACATGACCGATTGAATGGTCTTGATCATATGGTTAATGATTTAACTAAATTAATTCTTGAAAAAGAAGAAACTGTTCTTTATGTTATCAATAAACGACCAGGAGGAAATGGAGAGATTAAAACAACTGTTCATTCTCCTATACGTCCAAGAGGTTCAGGCATACGACACGATAGACAAGAGCAAATCCATAATCAAATGACAAAACTTCAAAAAATAGTACGAAATATTCAAAGTGAAGGTCGAAATTCTTCAAAAGAATTGCATCATCATCAACATCATCATAGACTTCATCTTCGACATCAACAATCAAGACATTCATCTCAAGTCCTTTCAACAGTTGATGATGAAGAAGATGATAGTCAAACTAATGGAGAACATACTGATCATCATACACATAATGATAATGAGGAAGAAGAAGAAGAAGAAGAATCTCGTGGTTCAGATCAAACAACTGTCGGACCATGTACATTATGTTTGCAGGAAAGAACTGAAGATATTACTGCTCAAGTACCAAATGGTCATCATTCAATTACTCATAGTCATTATACAGATCGATCTCATAGTTCAGTGACTACATCAGGTGATGGCAGTGCTAGTCATACTCGTGGATTAGGTGAAGCATTAGCTTCGAATGGAACAGATATTCTTTATTATGATTATGAAAAGGAATTGATTCGTATTGCAGGAGAAGACGATTGTTCAGTAAAATTTCAACATGGTTTAGTTGTTGACTTATATTGGTGGGCATTAAATCGTGAATGGTTAATTTTAAGTGAACAAGGTTTATATCGATGGAAAGCAGGTGAATCTGATTATCAAGATGCTTATGAATTTTCAAATGGTGAAATTGGTTTTCGACGTATAGCTGTTACTAGTACAAGTATATTTTGTTTATTTCGATATAGTCTTATGATACTTGAATTATCAAATTCAATGCAAATGAAACGTCTTCATGCACTTGCACCACCTGAAACAAAATATCGAAAATTATCTGATATATCTGTTAGAAAAGTAATACAACCTGATGGTAGTGAAGAAGATGTCTTAGGTAGAAAAAAACTAAACTAAACTAAACCAGATCGAAATATAAATTTATCTATCTAGGCTTAATATGGTTTGGCAGTGGACCAGGTATACTTCTTGAAGAACGATTTGTTACAGCTCATGAAAATAATACACATGAACGTTCATTGCGTCATGTTTCTGTTCGATCGGGTCGTTATGCACGTTTAACTTCATATGATGATGGTCGTGCTTGGTTAATTAGTAATACAGGTGCAGATGTTTTCTGGATAGTTCACAATGAAAATGTAATTGCTGGTCGATGGGAAGCATCTGCAACATGGGTTGAAGTTAGCAATGGTATACCTATCAATGCTGTTGGTGCTACTGATTCAACTGTTTGCATTCGTCACCAAGATGGAGAATTAGAATTTCTTGCCTCTGAATGAACATTGAAAACTTTTCTTTTTTTTTATATGTTTTTTTCTCTAATATATTATCTTTCGCTAGAACACAATTCAATGAGGTCAACATAGATAATTTTAATTGTATTCTTTTTTTTTCCTTCTAAGTTAAACATATATACATATCTTCTTTTTCTCTTTCCTTGCCAAACGAATTGCTATTTGTTCGTTCGCGTGTCATTCGGACGAAGGAAAAAGGGAAAAATATCATCATGCATGCAACTTTGGGAATAGAATGAATGAAAAAGAAAAGAAAATTCTTTATTTTCGTTGGTTAATTCGAACAACAATGCTCGTCCGTCATAATCGCGAACACAATGACCGCTATCGTCCACAAATTCGATATTCATATTAATGAATGAAAAGCTTTATCTTGTGTGAACAATAATTTGTTCAATTTTTTGTTTCGTTTTTTTATTTTTCTAATATAATAACAAATATGGATTTATCATCTTCACGAATTTTAACAGCATCATCAATTGCAAATACATCATCAGGTGCTATTATAATACCGGCTGTAAAAAATTCTTCATCATTAAATAAAAATTCTTTAAATCCAATACGTATTGGTGATGCAGCTTTTCAAAAAATGCGTACAATAACAACAACACCACCTATAACATCATCAATACATGATTCATCTGATCAACAACCAGCTGTTTTTATTATGAATAATATGAAAACTGAACCTCAACAACCACAACGAACAATAACTGTTAATCGTCTTTTGTTTTCAAATAATAATAATAACACTAATAATATAAATACGACGAATACACCTACATCAACAACAATTGTCAATGGACAAAATGCAATTAATTTAGCAACACTTGTTAATAGTTTAAATACATTAAATCAAATGGCATTATTACAATCAACAAATAATTCAACACCAACACAAAATAGCATTGCTAAACTTCTTGAAACACCAATTTTATCAACAACAAATGTTATTCAACGTCCACAAGCAACACTTGTACCAGCTGTTACACATCATGGTAATTTCTTTGTAAGAAACAAGAAAAAAAGTTAAAAATATTTTATCTTTTTAGTTTCATCATCAGCAAATAAAGAAAATGAAAATACTCCTCCTTCACAAACACGAATTTCAACCGTTCGTTCAACACCTGGTTTACCAACTTCAGTTCAATCTCCATCTGCAACAGGTCCAATACAAAATGAAGCTTTTTTTGCTAAAACAAAAGTTTTAGTTGAACTTTTAACATCACCAAGTACTCAACCACCATCAAACTTTGGTTCATCATTAATCGAACCACAAACTCAAACACCATATTCAGATGCAACACGTACACGATCAAAAAAACGTATTAATCGTGTTAAACGACCTATGAATGCATTTATGGTATTTTCACAATTAGAACGTCGAAAAATAGTTCAATTAGCACCCGATATGCATAATGCTGAAATATCAAAATATTTAGGTGCACGTTGGAAACGTTTATCAGAAATTGAACGACGTCCATTTATTGATGAAGCTGAACGATTAAAAATGTTACATTTACGTGAATATCCTGATTATAAATATAAACCACGTAAGCGTGCTAAAAAAGGTTCATCACCACCAACAAATTCATCCATTCCACATATGTCATCACCTATGGATACAACTGATGCATCATCAGATGATTGTACATCAAAAACATCAATTTTACCTGGAATGAATCGTTTAGAAGAAAATCTTTCAACATCAATGGAAAATGATTTTGATGATAATTCTTCTTCAGCATTACTTTCAAATACACTTGCGTCATTAATAGATCCAAAATTAGGTCTATTTCCAAATACAAATTTTGATGATCCATCACTTTTTTCATCATCATTACCAATAAATACAGGATGTGGAGGAGGAGCATCATCATCATCATCATCACAACAAATCGATCCACTCTTACTTGATGCACTTGCTTCGGCTGATCCTCAAACTCAAGAAGCGTTTTTTAATCAATTACAAATGCTTGGTGATTTTAAACTATGGGCTGATCTGGATTTATCAAATAGTGATCCAACTTTATAAAAAAAAAAGCTCTATTCGACGTACATATTTGACAATGGTAAAATCAAAAAAAAAATTCAAAACTTTGTAAATAACTTTTTCTTTTTTCTATTTTGTTAAAATTCAAATGTGTTGAATTTCGGATGGATTGTGTTTTCATACTAGAGTATTTTTTTTTCTCCTAGTTCGTTTTCGACGATAAATCAATGAAAAATTCAACGTATTTTTTTGTCTGTATTTTGTTTCATGTTGATGAATTTGACTATAATAAAAACAAATTGATCTTTTCTTTTAATTGACATTATTTACTTCTTGAGGGTGTCTGTGTTGTTAGGACAGGATAACGATAATATATACACGCATTGTACATGTGAAAACATATTAATATTTTATGTTACTACATACCTTAAGACATCGTCCCCCTCCAAAATCGATATCCAACATGGTGCATGGAATCTTTATGAAACTTGCTACAAATGCTCGATCCATAGAGGCATATATGTAAAAAAATTTCATGGCTCTAGCCCTTTCCGTTCGAGAGATATACAGGTACCAAGGAGCAAAATGGGGGCCCCACGCGTACAAGGATTTTTTCAATATACTTCGAGATGGAGCGCTCGGGCTGGTCTCATTTGAAGGAGAACTGCTTGGTGCTTCAGATGTGGGAAAGAGTTTTTCAGAAAATACCTGATTACTCATAGATAGAGATGCAAATAAAAAATTCCTTCTCATCATCTGAAGAAGGATATGTGTATCTATCAAATAAAAGAAACCGCAGTTTAATGGAGTAAACTATAATGGAGAAAAACTTGTTCAGAGATTGATATTTTTCAAAAAACTCGGTTTTGAGAAAAACGATGTTAATCAATAAAATCTTTACGGATCTATACAGTAGACCACTCAGGCATCATGCCCATGTATTTATCTCAAAATCCATTTTTTTGACGAAAACCAACTTTTTGGAGGGAGGGGCGGTGCCTTAAGAGTGTGTTCGTATGCTTCAATACTCATTTCGCATATTAATTTTCAAGCAACTATTAAACGTTCTTAATTCAAATAATCAGTTTTTAACAGAGCATCTATTCATTTTATTATCAAGTAATGTATTTTCAGCAATGTTTTTTTCATGGTGAATCCGGTCAGTGTATTTGGTTCTGAAGTATGTCACGGCGGACGGCCAGAAAGCGAGATATAGAAACAATGAATATTGATGAAACGCGGTTACTATATATTTGGCTGTTTAGTCCATAACGAACGAGAACGAAGTATGAACATTGTTGATTTACCTGATGAAATTTTGCTTCATATTTTGAAGAAACTCAATAATATTGATGCTCTGTGTACATTTATTGGTATCAATGAAAAACTCGATCGAATCGTGTGTGATGTTAGTATTACCCGATTTATCAATTTAATGGCAGTTGAATCAAATCAAGTGGCTGATTCAAAATGTATGAAGATATTGCCAAGAATTCATGATAAAATAGAATCTCTTACTCTTCAAGCATGTTTATTACCACGTGTTCTTCAAACTAATAATTATCCTCACTTACGCAAACTGGTTATTAATAATCTTCAATTCATTATGTCCTGTCGTTGGTTCAATGGTATGTTGTTTCATCTATTAATATTGAAAAATTACAAGAATTCTTTGTAGAGAAATCTCCATTTCTTCATATTTTTAAACAACAAATTTTAGAACTTGTTGTAACGATTGGTGACGAAACTATGTATAAATCTGAAGAGAAATTAGTAACTGATATTTATAAACGTATATTTGGATTATTTACAAATCTCAAATATTTGGACATAGATACTAATGACAGGCATTCTTTCCCTCGATCATTGTTAACTGGTGTACCATCTACAACATGCTACTCGTCTAGTATTGTTCATTTACGAATCAGAATGCAGAATATTGATGATTGTATTTATTTACTTGATGGTCGTCTTAGTCAATTACATACGATGATTGTCAATCTTGATTACATTCATGATCCAGTACTGATTAGGGCACGTCCGCAAAAGATTATACGTAATTCATTGAAATTGATGAACAATATGGTAAGTAACTAAATATCTATTAATGCATTCTTCAGTTGGGATATCATAGTTTATTGATAATCTAGTTTAATAATAACTCTTTTTTTTACATAGACTAATCTATGTCGACTCAAATATTTTTCACTACATGCATATCATAGAACAACTGAATTTGATAGTATAGTGATACCTCTCATTCGTCGAATGACACATCTGGAAAAACTTATGTTATCTGTTCGTGTTGGTGGAAAAGATTCGTTCATTGATGGTACTTATTTGAATAATTGTTTACTCAGTCAAATGCCATGTCTGCATATATTTCAATTCAATATTATTACTGAATTTGTCAGTCTTTATGCACAACAACCTAAACCAACACCTGATGATATTCGACATACATTCACACAAAGAGGATATAATGTTGATTGTTATATTGACCATCAATTTTATTCTTCAAGGCGATGTCACGTTTATTCACTTCCATTTCCGATGGATCGTATGTATCATATAACGCATAGTTTTTCTGGTGGTATGTTCACCAATGTTCGTGTTCTGCATATGAGAGACGAATGCCACCCATTCGAACATAATTTTTTTGCTCAAATCTCACGTTCATTTCCACTACTTCGTCGTTTGCTAGTTTCAAATCGAAACGGACAAAAAGAGAAACATGTGGAGAAATCTTCGATTATTGACTTTTCTCATCTTATCGAACTTGACTGTTCTTGTATGCATATCGATTACATAGAGCAATTTCTATTCGATACCAATACGCATCTACCTTGTTTGAACAAGATTTATATTTCATACGAAGATTTACTACGTGTAACAAAGAATTTTACAAGAAGTAAAACACATATGAATTGTACAAACCTAAAACATATTATTCATAATCGATATATGGCAATGGCTCATTCGAAAAATTATTATTTGTATTTTCCTTTATTGTTGTAAATAATGTTCTGATTAAATAAACTTTGCTATCTATTCAAATTCAGACATTCAATATATATGTAGTGCAAATTGCTTTAGAGCAATAAATCAAGTGTTGGAAATCTCTAGAAGTATAACATATTATTTGTCGTTTTAAAAGATTAGAAAGTAGTCAAAAATTCGCATGTGAAAGAAAATCAACAAAATTCATGTTATCTGATTCAGTTTTTAATACTGATCTTGGGTGGGATGGGTGTGGGTGTTAGGTGAATATATTATCCATACCCATGTCACGTTCACACCCACACTCACATCCATACCCAAAATATAAAGAAATGAAATGGTGGCTTCTCGTTTCGTCAAAAAAATGACGGTCTGCCAGTATATACTTCAAAGTATATCAAAGAGTGTGGGTAGGGGAAGGTGTGACTTTTCAACCAGACGAGAACTAACCAAATGAAATGCATCAGTATTGACGATGAAAATATACATTCGATAAATGATAATGAAAGAAAAAAAAACATTTTTTTTCCGTTTGTTTGATAATCATCTGGTATCGATCGTTTCAGATTGTTAAATACCCGTTATCTAAAGTAATAATAATAATAATACTGAGATATAACGTTTTTGATTCAAAACACTATTCGTATCTTCAATCAATATTTGACTTTTAGTTTCATTGCTAAGTAAAAGCAAGTTTATTATTATCAGTAATTAGAATGTATCAAAATGTTTCACAGAATCTCTTTTAAAAATAAAAAAAAACATTGGATATCATAGCATTTTATACGTTAGATTTCTTCTATATACTTGTCGATCAACACTGGAATATTCATCCAACAAATAAGAACAATCGGCGAGTGCATAGCTAACTAAAGCAAATTCTGAAAGTAAGGATTATACAGCGTTTAAATCCTCGGTTTAATATTAATGATTTGAAACGTTTGTCAGCTCAAGCCAATAAGAAAAGAGCACAAGCTATGAAGGTAATAGTGCTGTGTAAGGGATTAAATAAAACATTCTCACCCTCACCGACAACCTCAAGATAGTTTCATTAACTTTTTTAAATAAATTTATTGTACCATCGGATGAAATCTTTTAAAAGATCAAAACATTTCTTCAGTGTCATCTCGAAAGACTTATTTGAAGTTTCATAGAACATATATCAAATTCTTTCTTTTTGCATATTTCAGCACTTTCGCTCGATTTTATCACAGAAAATAAAACAATATGAAAAGCACACAACAAAGAGACAAGAAGAAATGTGAATAATGTTGCAAAGAATACAGTTTGTGTGAAGTTAACAGTTTCTTTCAATCTTTATCGCTCAGTCTAATAGACACATCAACTATTACACAACATTTCTTCATTAGTCTCTATCATCTCTATAAAAATCGTTTTCTGAGTTTTCACCATTCATGACCATTCAGCATGTTGTTATTTCAATTGATGATCATCTACAGCAAGCTATAAGCAAGTATTGAATGTCTTTTTTTTAAAGGTGATTTTCAAATGCAACAGTACATCGATTGGTTCATTACGAGAAGCAAACAAATAAATAATGTCTTTTGTGTTTATTATAATAGTCAGATCATTGAAACTGAACAGGCTGATTAAGGAGAAGTACGCCTTCGAATACGATTGAACGATTGTTTAAATGCTTTCATATACATTTCTGAAGGAAAGACAAAGATAAGAAAAATTAGCATAGAAGGAGTGAACGAAATGAAATATGCTCCAAGATACAACCAAAAGTCCTCAGATGTTTTCACACAACCAGGAAGTAATGAAATGATGAGACGAGGTATTGATAAAACGAGTAAAACTATTGGACTAATGATCAATTGTTTATGTTCACGGAATTGTTCTTGAATATGCTCTTTAAAACTTCGGTTAGTTCGTGCCAATGATCGTTGTCGAGCACCTCCAAAGATGATGAACAAGGCAGAGAAAAGATTAACAATAAATGGACCAACAAGATGAAAAAATAGAACGGCTGTATTATAATGTTGAATAGAAGGAGAATAATGAGTGATACATGATACATACCGGTTGTTTGGTTTTTCATTAGCCTTACTCATACCTGGTGCTGCTTCATAAACGAACAATCTACGAAATGCGAGCTCGTGAATAAGTGTACCCAGAATACAGAATGGTAAAATAAGAATTGTTCGTCGAGCAATAGATTTACTCTTTTTTTTGTCAAAATTTACTCCTTTCAAAATAAGTACTGCTCGTTCAACTGCTACACAAGCATTGAGCCAACCATCAAAGTAGAGAAAAAGTTTTAGAATTGATTCAATAGATACACAACCTCCACGAAGAACAGACAAACTAGTGGATACATTGATCTGAGTAAGAACAACAAACCAGAATTTAATTATGAACATACTAATTGCCAAAAGAGAAGTAATGGCTGATGCTAATAGATACATTCCACATCCAACTTGTTGAGCATCTTTATGTTGAAATGTAATAAAAGAAAGAATACTATTAATTAATCCAGCGACAAACATTATTATTGTTACGCCGGCACTTAGTTTAATCGAAAATGATTGATTATTCAACATTTTGTTCGGTTGAAGTTCATCGCGTAAAATATCATCGAGAGTCAAACCAATCCCTTTAATATGAAAGTTACACTGATCACCAATCACACAACTACTTTGTTCAGGACCTAAAATATTATATATATTTTGATAAGAGAATAATGAAGAAATTCAGTTGTATTGTCAACCAAAATACTCAGTTTTGGCAATTTATTTGTTTTCTCAAATGAAAAGATTTTTCAGTGTATTGAAATATGTGCATCTTTCACATATAAATAAAAACTTTTTCGATACTCATTTCAGCTTCTCAATTTTATTGATAAATTATTAAAAGCAACCTATTCTTTTACTACTGATTTATACAAATAGAAAAATTATCGAAGAAATTTTTACTTTTGCAAGATTTTGAGCCCTCGAAAACTCTGTATTGATAAAGATTGGAAAGGGTGTAAGTATGAACATCGAAATTATGGAAAATCTATTTATAATTCATGCTAAACAGATGTCTTTTCTAATAGATCAGTAAACCCAAAGATTCTGGAAACTATTTAATCGAATAACTCGATAGATCTTTTTTCAAAACCTAAAATAAAAATTGCTCATTAATAAAAAAATATAAGCAATCTTCTTTTCACGTGTTTTATCCCATTATATATTTGTTATTGAAAGAATCACATAAATACTTACTGAAAAGACTAAGACTGACATTGCTTGGTCCAGAGATAAAAACGGAGAAGTTTCCAAATATCTTGGGATAGTGTGTTGTCACAACTAATATGTATCGAGTGTTGATCTCCAGATCGATGATTAGTTTGAATTGTCCATCGTTACATTTACCTCCATGTGACAGGAGTAAATTTTCAGATGGTTTTAGAGGATTGAAATCATTTTTGTAGATATATCCATATGCATCAATGTTACTTTCACTCCAAAGAACATACAAACCCAATGTATTGACATGAATTTGTAAAGTTTCATAATGACAATGCGGTACTTGACAGTCTCGATAATATGTTGGACTATCTTCAGTTAATTTTAATGGGTATATTAATTGAATATTTACTAGAGTACCTATTTAATTAAAAAAATTCAAATAATTCATACAATTTCGATCCTATGATCTAACATCGACAAAAGCGAAATCTTCGAGGTTTTCTATGAAGATTTAATTTTACAAGTAGAGTTTAGTAAATGGACCAAACCTACGCCCTTCAAGTGAGTATTTTGAAATTGGTACTTCACAGAAATCTAAAGTTACTAAGCTACGACAAGATAATTTTAAGGTTTTCAGTACTTGTCTCTTAAATATTTCCAAACATCTCATTGACTATTCTTTTTAGCACATTTTTCATCCAGTCTTTATAAAAATTGAACAGTATCCATCTACTACGATAGTGGTAGCAAAATATACGAATAGATATCCTGCTGAAAAATGCCTTAATATCACACAGCGTAAGTTCAATATATTCTCTAGGTATAGAATAAAAGATGGAATTGAATTTAGAAGATGGACTATATATTTTATATGAATTATTTCGTATATAACACAAATATCTATATACTTACTAAGACGTTCGAGAATAACTTTGTTTTTACCCAATGCAACGACTGAAAATTCTCCAGTTCCTTTTGATTCATATGTTGTCACAACCAATATATATGTCATATCAACATCAAGATGAATATTAAGTCTAAACTGAACATCAAAGCCACTGTCATACTCTTTATCGAGCAAATTATCTAATGGATCAAGTGGATTAAATTTGACTTTATAAATAGATCCATACGGATCGATGTTACCACTGCCACGAAAAGTGTAGTAACCACTTTCGAACACCTTCACTTGAATAGATTCATAATAAAAATTTTGTTCGTCACAATCTCGGTAATAAATTTGATTGCTGTTAGTCAACGATGATAAAAAGATCTTTTGGATAATAGAGGAAGTATTGGCTAAATAAACAATAAAATCAATTGAAGTTTCTCATGAGTGCACAGTGATACGATTTTTTTTTTGAATAAGAATTTCTATTCACTTTAAATGTATGTCCCTAACCTATTTAGCTGATAACTTGTGTTCAAAAGGATAAAAAAACTTTTTCTTAACCACAAAGCATTTGAAAGGAATTGAGTTTATTCTGTAATATGATTTGTTTTTCGACATTTTGAAAAGTGAAAACATTATGTAGGTCGGACAATATTGACGACAATTTAATAAAATTATTTGATCGATATGCACAGCACAATATTTGACTTTTATATGAAACTTCAAAATTCGAAACAGATCTAACCAGTGAAAAGAGAGAGAGAAACTTCTAAATGATTAGATTTAGCTGAGGACTCTTTTCGCAATCAATCAAATAAAACATAATATTGTTCACATTGATCAAATAGTTTCTACGTAACATCTAAGAAGTTTTGTTTTATTCTTCAAATAACAATCAAAATCTTTGATAATTTTTCTGATCTGATAGTTATCCTCACATCTTGAGATCGAGAATGTTAAGAAGAAGAATATCTATAATCAATTGAAATTTTATATTTTAAATGAATTTACTTAATTTGTATTGAAATTGTCAAATTAATCAATTGTTTCATTTACACAGTTTTATTTTTTTTCGATTAATGAAGTTTCATGTACTGTATTTTCTTTTGCTTTGAACCTCAGTTTCTTTTAACAAAACTATACAGCTTTCCATTATCAACATTCACATCTCATAATTTCATTCGATTATACTTCAACTTACCACAATATCTTTTTAAATAATTAAATTTCTGAATTCGATGATTTGATTGATCAGTAACAAACATGTTCCCAGAACGATCGAAACTCAAACCATGTGGAAAAAACAATTGATTGGATTGTAAACCCTTTCCATAACACCCAACTAAACATCGAAAACCATTCAACCCTGAACCAATAATACGATGATTGTTCTGATCTACAATGAATAAATATTTCTCAGCATCTAATATAATTTCCCTAGGATAGTTAAGTTCAATTGTTTGATGCGGTGACGTTCTTCCAGCCACAATGATGCCATCTGATTGTCCCGACTGGAACAACTGAACTCGGTGATTTTCGCAATCTGCCACATATAAATCGAAATTCACATCGACAAAGATTCCACTAGGAAAATAAAGTTGATTAGGGGCTGATCCTAGAGTACCTGTTCCAGCAGCGACAGGATTTGAAGTCATCATAGAGTCATTTAATGATCTTTTCACTACTTGATGATGCTTAGACATTGAACAATAAAGAGTATCATTGATATCGACAAATAAACCATCACATGATGAGTTAATATTCATCACTGTAACAAAGATATTTGTTTCTGCTATCCATTTCTGCACTCGACCATTATAATATCCATCATCAATATAAATGTCACCATTCGATGTCACGAAGAGAGAGTTAGGTTGTCTAAAACTACCAGAGATGTTCTTTGTTGGATTGACACTCTCTTTTTGCCATATCACAATTGTGCTGTTTTCTATATTAGCGACATAGATTGTGTTGTTTGTGCTCACAAAAATGGCGGTAGGTTTCTGACCCACAATTGATTGATTAGCAATGGTAATTCCATTGGGATTCCAAGTGGCCGTTGGACAAAACTTTGGTTGATTGAATGAAAGAGCTAAAAATAAGAAAAACATAAAGAGTATTAGAGAAAAACTAAACAAAATAAAATTTCTTCGAACAAATTTTTCATGAAAAAGGCATTTAGAAATGTTTGTTAAGATTGATTTTAGGAATGTTTTTTGTTAATATTCATATGAAATATGATCTGTTATGTTGTTAAAATATTTTTGTTTACAACGTCGACGTCAATCTTTTTAGATAGAAAATTTTCTTATTACTTTCTGTTGAGAAATCTAGTGGAAGAACCGAATAAATTGTATCAAAGAAAATAGTTGAACAAAAGAAATTATTTATCTAAGGAAAAATAATCAAGAGAAAAGAAGAAATTTTATGAATCAAATTTCTTTCATTGCAATTTTGAATGCTTCATTCGCCTTTCTAAAGTGAATTTTAATGGTAAAGGTGGTTCTTTTAAAAGTAATTCTACAGATACGCCATTGCAGATCTTTTTTTTGAAATATTTATTTAAACATAAATTTCAGTTTTAGCTCAGCTGTCTATATTATTGGGAGTATAACTCGATTCATCTCAGTAAATTTCATTAAGAAATAAAAAATATCAGTACACGCCATACCAGTACTCAATGAAAATGGAAAGAAAAATGAGAGAAAGAACACGATTTTTTTATAGTCCACAAAAAAGTCTTCTTATCTCTCTGCAAACACTCTTCGTAGAAATAGTCGCTCGAAGATTTTTTACCTGAAGAAATATCAAAGATCACAACATTTTGTCTTTAGTCTATATAAGTAAAACAAATCTTTCTTTGTAATCTTAATAGTATTTACAGATTTCAATGTTTTTCCTATGAGATAAGGAAAGAAACAAGAAAATCTTCATTTTCATATGAGAAGAATAAATGATTCTCTTGAAACGAAAGTAATCATTAACTAAACATCTTCGAGAAAAAGTAAAATAAATATTGGTAAAACTAACAAATCTTTTATCAATCAGAGAAACTTTTTCTCATTGAGGCTTAGAAATGTAAACAAAACTTTGTTAATTGACTTATATAAAATTTTCATTTTAAGAACAATCTGAAATAGATTTGATTCAAAATCAGATCGATAGATTTTATTTATTTTATCAAATAAAGAACTTTTTTCTTCTATAGAAAATATTCTTTGTTTACAATCATAGAGATAATAACTTACATCATATTACAAATTGTCTTCAAGTATTCAATATTACTCTCTGTAATTAAATATTATGATAATTATCCAAAGAACAAATCATCAATCAATCATTTCTTCATGAGAAAATTCAGTTTTTATTATATTTGATATTGAACTTTATCTCTCTTAACGAAAAACAATGACTAAATTCAATTTGCATAAAGATAGAAGAAAAATTAGTTGGTAGAAGCGTGATATTTTATTTGTCCTATTTTTGTTGAATGAAACATATCGAAATATGAAATGTGAAGTCAAATCATAGAATAATTTATATTAAAACTATATTGGCAAAGATTTGAAGAGATTTTATTTACGATAAAAACTGTTTCACTCATAAAATATTCTTAAAGACATATGAAATGAAACATCAAAGCCCTTTCTACTATTCCACTAAGGACACAACTTTTTCTTTTTCTATTCTTTAATCTCAAGGAAAAGGCGAAAATTGTTTATCGTACATGATTGACACACGGCTTTGTCTAATTTAAACATTTCATTCCCTTAGACACATTCTTTTACACATTGGTTTGATTAATCACTCAACCATTTTTTATTTTCTTTCGTTTTTTATATTAAAATGTCTTTATTAACTTTTGTTACTTATCTATTCACATCTTTTCATTTCATTCTAGTTTTGTACAACTTACCAAAAGAATCGTTCATCAGTAAAAATTTTTGAATTCGATGATTAAATTGATCAGTAACAAATATGTTTCCAGAGTGATCGATACTCAAACTAAATGGATTATTTAATTGATTGGATTGTGAACCCCTTTCATAACATCCAACTAAACATCGAAAACCATTCCAGCTTGAACCAACAACTCGATGATTGTTCTGATCCACAATGAATAAATATTTCTCAGCATCTAATATAATTCCACTTGGACAATGAAGTGTAATTGTTGGATTTAAGGACCCACTTCCAGCTACTGTGATGCCATTTGATTCTCCTGGCAGGAACAACTGAACACGATTATTGTCACGATCTGCCACATATAAATCCAAATTCATATCGACAAAAATTCCATGAGGAAGATTAAGTTGATTCGAGGCTAGTCCTACAATACCTGTTCCAGCAGCAACACGATTTGAATTTATCACAGAATCATTTAACCATCTTTTTACTACTTGATGATGCTCAAGCATTGAACAATAAAGAGTATCATTGATATCGATAAACAAACCATAACATGATGAGTTGACATTCATCACCGTGACAAAGTTATTTGTTTTTGCGATCCATTTCTGCACTCGACTATTCTTTCCATCATCACTAATATAAATATCACCATTTGATGTCACGAAGAGAGATTCGGGTAGTGTAAAGTTACCGTGAATGATCTTCGTTGAATTGACATTCTCTCCTTGCCACATTACAATTGTTTTATTTTGTCGATTAGCGACATAGATTGTGTTGTTTGTGCTCACAAAAATAGCGCTAGGATATTGACCAACAATCGATTGATCAGCAATGGTAATTCCGTTAGAATTCCAAGTAGCTGATGGAGAAAACTTTGGTTGATTAAATGAAAGTGCTAAAACGAGAAAAATATTAGAGAAGAACTGTAAACAAATTAATTTGTTAATTTATGTTTTTTCTTAAAAAGACTCATTCAGATTAATTTTGAAAAGATTTTGATGATTGTTATTGTATTTTCTCGGATGAAATATAAATATCAACTTACAGAGCACTGAATTCATCGAAGGAGATCAACTTTATTCATTGATTTGTTTTGTTGTAATAGAAAAACAATTATGTTCGATCCTTGAAATGATATGATTATTATTCAAGGTAAAAAAATAACCAAATAATTTTTTTATTTCCTCAGTGGAAATGAATTGGAAGTAGGAAAAAAGAATTGTTTAAAATGAAAATGACTTTATTGACATTAATTTGAGATTTAACAAAGTGCTTTTGAAATTCAAAATTAATTCTCATTCTCATATGAAAAACATTGTGAATTTATTCATGATAAATCATTTCAGTTGAATCTAACACATGAAAGAGAGAAGAAAATTCTCTTGCTAATCATTAATTAAATAGGCATTCGAAGAAGTTATTTTAGAAAAATATTGTGAGATAAAAATCAAATGAAAATATTCTTTTTCTCCTCCCATTGTTTCAACTTGAATATTTCGAGAAAAACTTCTTTGTATTTGACCTTTAATTCAAATCTTGTCTTAATAATATTCTTTTATGATAGTCTAGTGCTAGAAATGGTACTGTCAATCATGAATTTGCACTCTCGAAGTAATTCTACATTATCATACGATTTGTGCTCTTTCTTTCATTCTAGCAGATGTATTCATTTCTACAGATTGAAAGTTAACATTTTCTCACAAGTAATCCTGTCTCAAAAGTGTCTATGGAGAACTTTTATCATTTTGTTAATCAATCAAATTCATTTCTACGAGATAAGTTCATATGTTCTAAAAAAAGGATCCTTTGCTTTTGTGTAGTTCAAAAGTTTTAAATACTTTTCATTTTCTATAATAATAAATAATATGAATATAGAAGTGGATGATCAACTGACTTGATATATCACTTCTATTTTTATACATAAAATTTTTTGAATATATTAAACACAATAGAACTATTTTATCACAGCCATAGTTTTTTTTATACGATAGAGATGGTGATCTGTATGGGATAAATGGATCAACGTCTTATTTGAAATCGAAATAGCCCAATAATTCTACAAAACTTTGATTTCATCTACGTTAACCTGCTCATCTTTTCTTTTTTTTATTTTGATTTCATCTGGGAAAGTCAATTATTTCTTTTTTCCATATGTTATAATACGATATGATAAAATAGATTTCTTTCCTTTCTGTTGTATCTCATTCTCATCTCAAGATCTTGACGAATAATGTTATTTTTGTGCAATGACTAATCTTCAATATGTAATAAATAAAAGTATTTACCTGATGTTTCATTATTGGGAATGAACAAAAGAATAATGATAAATACATAAATATTCCACATCATTTAACAAGCTTTTTTTTTGATAAATTAGTTAACTAATAAAATAATCTTCTTTGTCTTCGATGGAAACAAAATGACACTCAATGTAGATTTTCTCTCTAGTTATATATCTCTCTTTCTCTCTCTCTCTCTCTTCTTCTCTCATTCATTTCTGCCAACATAGCACACAAAGAAAAAAAATCGTCTTCTAGAGAAGGTTTCATCGTAAGTAAGATAAAAAATTAATTTTAGATTGGATTAACGAACAAAGTTGATGATTTAATTTGATATTTTTCATTGAATTTCATTCTTTTCGAAATTCTAAAACACGGAATAAAATCTAAATTCGACATGATCTGTTTCCTTTTTTTTGTTTTTATAGAAAATCTTTGATTTTAATGAAGAAGAACGTGATAAAGAGAAAGGAGAGAATTGAGCAAAATCTGCATTAATCATCGGACGTGTTTTAACTCAAAAAAAGATATCAACTATCATCGTCAATAAATGATTGACGTCAATGAATAAGTCGTGATTAGTTTGATGTCTTTTTTTATTTAGCTCTGTTAAATAATCTGCTTTGTCAGGACTCACTTTTAATCACGTTCTTTATTTCTCTATGCGCAATAAGTATCTATGAAAAAAACATTCCTGCTTCAAATATTTCGATCTGTTTCAAAATAAAAACTCATAAGATATATAAAAAGCAGAATTGTTCATTGCAATACGATGGATTTTTCCAAGAGACATGAAAAAGATGCATGAATTCAACTTTAGAATCAATATAAGCAAGAAAAGCACTCTGAAAATGGATGAATCTTATCAATTCGTTGGAATAGTTCTATTCAAACATAATCAAGGTCGTAAAACTCAGATAGATTATCTAATATTCCTTGCAATCTAGCATTGGTGATTTGTCACCCATGCAGAAAACGTTTGATTCAAATTGATTTTAAGGGTGCAGGTGTCGATGAAAGATGAATATACTTTCCACAACTTTGCTCATGCGTGCATACTCACACCCTTCATTGAGAGTGAGTGCATGTGGGCGTCTCCTGTCCTCACCCACAACCAGGCTCGTAGCCAGGGGGTGAATGAGGTGCCCGGTCACCCCCTTTGGCGAAAAAAACCTTGAAGGGGGTACGGATGAGACTTTTATTTATGAAGCAAAAAATTATTTTCCTACTGGTGTGCACCCCCTTAACAAGTCGGGCACCCCCTTTGGAAAATTCCTGGCTACGGCCCTGCCCACAACCGCACCCATCCGCATCCACCCACACCCACACCCGTTTAGTTTGTCATCTCGTTCCCGTTCTATTTTCGAAAAGGATTCTTTGTTTTTTCATACCTACTAAAACTCTATCTATACCCAGGTCAACCAATCCAACGTTGGATCCGATCATCCGACAGAATCCGATAGGATTCCTGGTGACGGATTTGCATTGGATTCCGTACGGAAAATTTTCAGTCACTTGCTGCAAATTTGATGAGCGGCGTTTTTAGCTATTTTCTATGATGGCCTTATGGTCACCTATCGGATCCGTCTAGATCCGTTTGTTGGAAATTGTGAGATCCGATGTTGGATCCGATGGGATCCGACCATAACGGAATCCGAAGTGATTCCGTCACCAGGAATCCTATAGGATTTTGTCGGATCGTCGGATTCCGATAGAATCCGGCATAGGATCCGATCGGGTCCAATCGGATCCGAATATGGGATTGGTGCACCTGGGTAGCTTAGTAACGAAGTTTGCAAAAGTTTTATTTTTCTATATGCAAACATATTACAAATATATTTTGGTAAAAGAAATAATGATTTCAATTAATTTGAAATGTTATTTTCAAATAATCGTAAATATTTTTATCTAAGACCATCATTTCTTTCCATTCAAATTGAAATGTATCCTGTTTTTCTAGAACACGATTTCTAACATAATCTGTTTTTTAATAATATTCTTTTAATTTATTTAATAATTATTGTCGTGTTCGATGTTGTTCATTTGAATAAAGTTCTGTATAAGCTAATCGATCAGGTACAATAGATATACAACCAGCTCTACAAGCTTCTAGCAATGAAACACTAAAAAAATCATGCTGATCTATTAATACAAGGGCGTGGGTGAGTGTGTAATAAAGTAGGTATTCACGCCACACCCACACCCTCAATTTCTATATTTAAAAATATATACAATTGAAGGACAACATATGAATAAAACTATTTTTTTTCAAATGACACAAATAACATACTGTATAATAATCGATTTTTCAAGCAATTATTCACATATAATTTTCGATAATCAACAGAAAAATAACGACTTACATAGTTTATACTCGAAAATGACGGCTGTTTATAAAGATAAAGCATTTCATCACGTATCTTGCTGCTAGCCTCTGTACATATTTTGTATGATTATCTTTTACATTTTTTGTTTCGTTCTTTCGTATTCTCTCTGTGTTTCGATAAAAGTCAGTTACACAGGTCAATGATCGCTGAAGCAGTATCTCCACGAATCTTCGGCGAAAACCCTCATGAAACTCACCGCTCCCGTGCCGGATTGTTCGAGCTGGATTGTGAACGAGCATATAGAAGCAACAGCAAAATTAAAAGTATGTACAGATTTCGGCAATAAATTTCTGTATATCTCAAATGCGAGAATTTATTGTTAAATTCATTCTTCAATAAGAAAAAACGGTATGAAAAGTGAAAACATTTGTAAAGATCGAAACTCATTCAATGAAATATCAGCACAACATTAGAAGAAAAATTCCAGTCTTAATCGTAATGTTTCATTTGCATAAAATTCAAGACAGAATGAAACTTTGTTAGAGTCTCTAATGTATGAACATACATCGGATGATGGAAGTACGAAACTAACTGAAAGTTATAATAAAGTAGTTTTTTTATATCCTTAGTATTATCTTCATGTCAGACGATATGCTTCATTCCTTCTTCAATATTATTTCTCTCTTTTCTTCTTTAGTATTCTGCCTTCTGTCTTGGCTACATCACACTTGTTTATACTTTATCGAAAATATTGAAAAAAGGTGGATGAGGATGTAAATTTAAGATGAATACAACCACCGTCTTTTTAGAATATTGAATAAACTTAAAGTTACATAGAGATTTTTATGCAATTTTGTTTAGGGACATATGGCTCAACAATCCTGGTCAATGGTTTCTGAAGCAGTATTTCATGAAATCTCTGGAATATCACGGAACCAACCGTTTCCGTGCCGGATTGTTCGATCTGGAAAAACGAGCAAAAACTGAACCAACAAGTTGCCAATGCTTGAATGATAGTAGCTTATGTATGATTTTTTTTGAAATATGTACAGTTATAAAAAATAAGTTTTTTTTCTATTATAGAATGAAACATTTCTCAACAACGGAATCCAATATCATTGTATGAACCTTTACAGAGTGATGCTAGAGAAACCACCGCCAATAAGATAATACAGAAGCAAGTTGGATATGATAAGCATCAATTCACATTGAACAACATTTCCGAATATTCTATTTTTGTCTTTTTTTTCTTAATCCTCAAGCAAATAAATAAAAAAAAATTCAATGACGGATGATTTCTTTGTAGCTATAACTAGAGCAAGATATAAAATTATTTTGATAAATAGTGGAATCAAATCTGATAAAAATTATAAAAATAAATAATCTTTATACTCATTATTATGCAATTATTTATTATCGTTTGAAATTTTGAAAGACAAAGTCTTTATTTCTTTTTACTTTTATTTTCAAAAAATGAACACACAACAACAGAGGTGATGAAAAAAAACTGTCTTAAAATTATAGTTTTTGTGAACCACGACATTTTCGTTCTGGAACTGGTTATGGTCGCTCCTGCAGAGTTTTTTTTGAGGACGGTCACGATCTTGTCCATATCCTCCAACCATTTCTTGAGCTGCCGATTTTCCTCGGCAAGCTGATGGTTTTTATTGATAAGCTCTCGATTTTCGTTAAGCACGAGTTGAATTGGTGGTTGTGGCCGTGGGATCTGAAATAAACAATATAAGAGAAGAGAATACATACTAGGGCGTCGTATTATTCCCTGTTTTTGTTCACGTCTACATATATACTTGAAATTGTACGAAGATAACCAATTAAAGAGCAACTTTTTTGTGATCAATTTGAAAAACTTTCTACAGAAGGCGTACCATTTGCTGATGAACATAATTTTCTTTGCACATTGCTCTTGCTTGTCCATTTCTTGGCCGATGAAAGAAAACCACGCCGATAAATTAACGTAACATACGTACTAGAAAGAAACAACATAAGTGAGGGCAAGGCTCATTGTTTCTTTTCTCTTTTTTAAAGATGACTATTCGAAATAACGCTCAATAGAAATAGTCACCCCTTGCGCATTCTATTCAAATAAGAAGATATATATCGACAAACATTGTTGATTATTTTATCACTCTTAGATTTGAACAATTTTCGAACTTTCAGCTATTTAACTATTAACTAATTCTATGTTTCAACACTCATCCTCACTTAATCTGATGCGCTCAGTACCTCTTTGCTTCCAGTTCATTAAGTTAATTCGCGTCTAATGTATCGAGATCTTGAATTATACTCACCACCGGATAAATACGGTCAAATGATCGACACGTAGTGGTAAAGGAGAACCAATGAAAACTAGAGGAATCACCTCTGAAAGGATTCAAGTTCGATTCGAGTCGATCTCAGCATATTCATTTACATTTTGATAAGACATATCTAAAATAAATAAATCGCAATAGAATAGATAAAATGATATTTTTGAAAGAATTATTGAAATAAACATATTTCAAGTATATTTTGGTTAATATCAGACTGCATCTTGAGGGTGTGGGTGATATTATTTCTGTCATTCATTTCAATCA